ACAAAGATTTTTATGTGTAAAGATTGCATATAAAATTAAAAAAGATAGGAAGATTTTTATACATTTATATATTTTTATGATAAATTTATGTTTTAAAATTTATCAAGTTATAAATGCACTAGCTGTGTTCAATTATAATAATTTATCTAAAAATGACTTTTAAAATCTCATTTGATCTGAACATTCAGTAAAATAACAATAAATTAATTTGTTTGGTATGATACTTATAAAACACACACACACACACACACACACACACACACACAAATTGCCCTCTTGGCAGTATTGGTTGAAAAATATGGTATACATTTAAATCATTTTAAATTATAGCAATAATTTACTAATTTATAAAGTCAAAAGTGTCATAGAAAGGTTTTAACGAGCGAGACTCAAGTCTTAAAAAAACTTTTTTAAACATAGCAGTGGATATTATGACCTGAAAATATTTCTTCTTTTCGTTCTTTATTTTTATTGCTTACTATATTTTTAAATAGATTTCGCAAAAATGTTTCTTTACTTTTTGCCTTCCATAAATCAGTAAACTCGTAAAATAAAGAAAAAGTTGTAAAATACAGTAAATATTCAATAAAGTCTTTTTATATACAGTTTTACAGTTTTCAGTAACTTATGGGCTAATTTAATAGACATTGAAAAATGCCTCATTCCCTTTATGGATTGCAGTGCAAACTATATTTAATCTTAAACAAAGCTACTTTTGACACTGAACGTCAATATGCTTAGCAAATAGCAGTACAATTTAAAGAAATGGTGATAACAAATTATTACAGTTGCTACTTATAGTTACAATAAAAAAAACAAAATAAAAGAAAAGAAATTTTCAAAAATTATTAAAATTGTTTATTAACAATTTTGTGATGATTTTTTTTCAAAATTATTGTGATGAATAACCACATTAATAATTCGCCGTGCTAGGTGTAGTTAAGGCACTTTTAAAATAATAGAGCGTCTGTATGATATTTTGTTGACTGCGACATTTTTTCGTTAAATGGTCTTGTCTGTGAATCATGAAAAGGCGAAAAAACTTAAAATGATAAATTTTGCGGTATCATAAAATATAAATGTTTATAGCGAAAAAATCCAGACCGGTGATTCTTTTTTTTTTTTTAAAAATCATCTTAAAATCGCAATCGCTCGTTTAAATTTAAATAAGATTATATATTAACAAGTTTTTTAGGTGAAATGAACATTATAGTTTAACAATATGATCTGTTCTGATCGTTTATTGGCAATTTTCCATAATTATAAGCTCTTTCTTGGTCGGAATTCCAGTATTTTTTGTGAAAATTGATAGAAATATTGTGTTTTGACAACTATATATAGTTAACTAACTATATATAACTATATATAGTTAACTATAATTAGTTATATAATTATAGTTAACTATAATTAGTTATAATAACTAACTATATATAGTTAACTATAATTAACTATATATAGATAGAAATATTGTGTTTTGACAACTATATATACGTCAGAACCAATTAGAACTAGGATCAGTAGTAAATTAAGGAACTTTTTTAAAAGATTTCAACTAAATTTATAATAATGCCGATGAGCGGAACTGATCTTAAGATTCCAAAATAGTGTTCTTTAGATTCACTATTACGGGAAGTAAAAAGGTTTTAAAAATTATTATAAAAAAAAGTTACTTTAAATATTATAAAAACCTTAAGCAAAAAAAAGTTATAACATTCAAAGATCTTGTTTGAACATAATAAGCTGACAAAACCTTGCTAATTCCAAATAAAAGTATTCAAATATTTTGTAAATCGCCTTAACTACACCGAGTGGATAGAGTATCGAAAGTTTTAACTTTTAATAGCGCGTTCATTGGTTGCTAAAGGCCACGTGTAGAAACAAATATCGTTTTTATATAGAGAATTTATATAAAAACTTTCGGTACTCTATCCACGGCCTTAATAATTTTGAAAAAAATATTCAAGTTTTCTGAAATAGTTTGCATGTTACCAAATGAAAACTCAGACCCAGAAAATAACTACTACTATGATTTGCATACTGACTGCTCTTATTAAACCATTAATTATATATACATTGATTTTCCTGCACAGCAATTGACGTTCTTGCACAAAACTCAGAGTTATATTTTTAAACAAATTGAATTTGTAACTAATAAATTATTTAAATTATTACTCCAAATTTGCACTCACTACCAGAAAATATTGGGGCTTGTACTCACTACCAGAAAATATTGGGGTTTGCACTCACTACCAGAAAATATTGGGGGTTGCACTTACTACCAGAAAATATTGGGGCTTGCACTCACAACCAGAAAATATTGGGGCTTGCACTCACTACCAGAAAATATTGAGGCTTTTCTCTTTAATGTTCGTAAAATGAAAGAAAATATCGAATAAAATAATAGAAAATGTTGAATATATATTTACTTTAGAAAATTGTTTGTTTGTTATATACATGTTATATAACTTAATTAGAGTTCTTGGTCCGCAAAATCTTGCTATTTTGAAACACACGAAAACTGAAAACTGCTGATAACGGAAACTTTCTGAAATTTGTGGAATTTCTAGCTTTGTTTGACCCACTTATGGATGTGTAGGTATATTAAAGCCTAATGAAGGGGTTTGGGTTGCATGAAAATTTTAATTTAACTTTTAATTAGATGTTTGTATGTATGTGTGTTAATTTTCATGTCAAAATTTTTTTATATATGTTCTTGTATGTTGTATTTGCAAATGAAAATATACGTTATTTGTTTTTGTTCATTTAATTATTAGAACTTAAGGCTCTAAGAAGAATATAATGGTTCGAAAAAGTTAAGAAGTTCAATGACAATAAAAACACTAGGATGCTAAAAAAACCCGCGTATATGCTTTTTGTATATACGAAAACTTCTAATTAATTATATAATTTTTATATATTTTTATATATTAATGGACAAGTAAGAATTGATTGAGAATCAAAATAACTGTAGTAAATCTCAAGTTTGGATAATTTTTCGCATATAAATGGACACATTTTTTGTTTATGCAAAAGCTTCTTGATTTATTAGAAGAATCTAAAAACATTTTTAATAAAGTTTAACAGAAGCATGGATAAACAAGAAAGATTTGAAAAATGTTTCAAATTTTGAAATTCCTTATTTTAAATTAATATCTCAGAAGAGACAAATAAATAAACGTGGCGGTGGAATTTTTATCTGCATGAAAGAGAATATAGCGCATTACATTATGAATGATTTGAATGCTTTCGACGTCGACAAATAAGTTTTACCTTTTGAAATTGTTAACAATCAAACAAAAAACATCCTCCTCAGCTGTTGTTATTGACCACCTGGTGGCGTGGTATCGACCACCTGTTGGCGTGAGCAATATTTTGAGCATATCTTCGAACAAAAATTCTATAGAACTGTAAATTCTATAGCCTTGTAGTTTCTTTCAAAATTTGATAGATTTTTTTGCTAAACACTTAAAAAATTGAAGAAATCAGAGTAGAGGAAATGTTTAAAACATTTGTTGACAACTTAAAGATGGGAGATAGGTGTTCTGGTCTGGTGGTGCAGGAAAGAATAGGAAAGTGATCATCTTGTAAATAGAAACGGCTCAGCAAACTGCGTGTAACTTGTGTAAATAGAAACGGCTCAGCAAGAGCCGTTTCTATTTACACAAGTTACACGCAGTTTGCATTCATATTCTTGAGAATTAATTGTTCTAGATAAAGATGAAAAACGGCAGACACAAAATGTAGCCAAAACATATTTAAAGAAAACAAATACTGTTGATATTGGTTTTATGACGGAGCTTTGATACAAAATCATGTTACAATTTGATGCTACCAGAAACTTTTGAATAGAAGTGCAGATTAAACTTTTGATGTTCAATTGCTACAATCTTTTTTGAAGTATGTGACATCAGTTTGTGAAGGTTTTTTTAATATTAAAGAATGTGCTGAAATGTTCTCATGCATTATTCCTTAGCAGAAAAAACATTAAAATAGGAGTTGGTGAGAATAGAGACAAAATGAAGCCGATCTAAGTGATAAATTTAAATTAAACACTCTTTCCCTATCATAGTCAAGTTGAAAATAGGCTCAAAAAAAAAGCTTTTGCTTAAGAGTTTGCAGATAAAAAATTTATATTTCTAAATAGTTTTCCGACCATAACTGTTCATGTAATTGTTTCCATATCCATCAAATACAGGTACAAAGTTGTTAAAATTGTCAAGCTCATTAGATTCATGTAAAATGTGAAGAATATATCAGCAGTAGAATGTTTACAAGCAATTCTTTAGACTAAGTAAGAATCTGGTTTTTTCCAATGCTGACATAAATTTTAAAACTCACACAATAATGTCTTAGCATTCAACAATTATGGCCTTATAAAATTTGCGGCCCCCTCGAACTGAGGGGGGTTCAAACTTTTTATGGTCATAGTTTTGAAATGCTAAAAGATTGTGTGAATTTTAAAATTTATCGATGAAAATAGATTTAGTTAAGAATAGTATAAAAATTACTTTATCAACTTGTTGCTTTCACGTTTGGGGCAGGTGTAGCTAAAATTCCATATGTTTGATGTAGCAGGTGTCGCTAAAATTCCATATATTTTGATGTTTGAGACACCTAACTTCCATGTTTGGAAGTTAGGTATCTCAAACATCAAAAAATGTTGCATCCGCGCCTATATATATATATATATATATATATATATATATATATATATATATATATATATATATATATATATATATATATATATATATATATATATATATATATATAATAATAATAATAATAATAAAGCTTTGTTAAAAGTTATTATTAAGTTTTGTAATAACTGTCAATTTTATTTAAGAAACTATAATTAAACTAATTTTATTTAAAAGCAATTTTAAAAATGAACTAAATTATTTGAAAACAATATATTATTTAAAACTAGTTTTTGTAAAAAAAAATCTTATGTTGTATTATTATTATTTTTTTTTTTGCAAAATTAAATAAAATGTTACCTCAAGATTAAGTGAAAATATTATACTTTCGTAAATATTTAGCGAATAGCTTCCGGGTGTAACAACAATGTGATAATTGCTTAAAATAATTAAACTTTTATTATAAAGTTCCAGGTGGGTAGTTTTCTAAGAACTTCAAAATTCTCGGAAATGAAAGAACATTCTCAAGTATTCTTTTTCTTTTTTTCATTTAAAAAAAAATTCCAAAGTAATTGTAAACAATTGCTTTTTTTAAGTTCTCTTTAATAATATTGTCCTTGAGATATTTATGATAAAGCGCACATTTTTTATTCAATTTTTTTAGTTTTTGTTTTATTTTTACTTATGAATTTTTAATGTCACGTTAATCTCAAATTAAACTTATTGTAAAGTTGCAAATGAAAGGGACTTGATGATAAGACTGCAGTCTTCTACTTGTTTCTGTCATTATTTAAATTTTTATGTTATTTATATTTTTATGCATAAAAATATATTTGTATCCATAAATGTTTTAAAGTTAAATGTATGTAAAATATTTAGTGACGAAATAAATTACAAAAAAAAAAAAAAAACATTTTTAGAAAATAAAACAAATAGCGAAAAAAATTTAGAATACAAAAAGTAAAAAATAGAATTAGAAGACTGAAGAAAATGTTTTAAGACAATAACAAATCGAATCAAATATATTCTGAATAAAGTTTAAAATGTTTATGTTAAAATGTTAATGTTAAAATATTTCCTGTTTATTAATTACCATGTTTAAAACCTGTTACCGCTACCATGACGTTACCTAGCTCTTTATAACCTTTACCACCATAATACCTTAATTTATGTAACATTCCAACGGCAATTATTACGGTGATTGCGATAATACTGCAATACCCATTACCGTGTCGCTCTCTTTTGTGTTAATTGTATTCTGAATTCTCAAAATGATAAAATCACCGAAATTTGATGCATCAAAACACGCCATGTTCAGATATTATTGCCGATGTGATGTGAAACGTAATTCAAGACTTTGGAGTACCTGATCCATAATTGCATAGTAAGTCAGATTTTTCAAGTTTGTCCGCATTATGAAACTGCCTGAATGGCAGCAGCTAATTGTCTCTTTCACAACTAAGTTTTAAAGAACGCAACTTCTGTAACCTTTTGCTGCAGTTGATTATACCATGGAGGTATAATAGCTTAGCTGGAGGGAGAACAAAACCGAAAATGGATTTAAATTACGTTACAGTCTTTTTAGTACAATTATTCCAGTAGCAAAACAAAATGGCGCTTTTGCAAAAAAATGAAAAGATTTTGAAATGTAATCAGTAAGCTTTGAGAGTTGTAATCGAAATCGATTAATAAAATAAAAGTTTGTTGGATATGTTTTTAACAACTATTCGATCAATTAAGAAGTTAGTTAAAACAAAAATCACGATTAAAGTGAAGTAATTATTTCTTGCGTACCTCAATTATAGGTATAAATATCAAAGTTTTAGACAATCTCTACTACCTATTTGAACCTTATTTTTTGCTTGCCTGTTCAGCTATAGGTTAGTTACGTTCTTTAAGACTGGTCTTTATGCCAGAAACTTATTAAATCCCGCCAGGATTTTATTTTGTATTGGAGTATTTTTGCTGGAGCAAACCCTTACAAAAAAACCCAGCGAACTTCCAGCGAAAGTTCGCTGGAAATTAAAAGATCACTGGAAATTTACTAAGATCACTGGGTTTTCGCTGGATTTCCATGGAAACAAAAGACTTCGCTGGAAGTTCGCTGGAAATCCAACGAAAAACTTCCAGTGATCTTAAGGTTCGCTGGAAGTTTACTAGGTTTCTTATGAAATATTTCGCGGTGATGTAAAAAGCGTTGCTGTTACAACTTCTGCAAGCAGTTAAAACTTGGAAAATTGATAATATAGCTTCTTAAAATAATATTTCAAATTTTTGTATAAAAGTAATCCTTTTTATTTTATTTTTTGCATCTAATAGATGATCTATAGTGTGAGTTTCAATTATTATTAGTTCTACTCAAGTTACAAAACAAAATCATCTGGTATGTTGCTCAAAATGTTTATTTCTCTTAAGTATTGTTTATTATGCATTCGCTTGATGCGAATGCATTTTATTTATTAAATTCAACTTTATTATTTTATAAAAATAATTTTTATAAATGTCTTTATGATTAAGTATTTTATATTAAAAATAATAAATAACAATCTGTTTCTCTCTCTCGCTGAAAGAGAGGGATATATAATATATATCCCTCTCTCTCTCAGTATATATATATATATATATATATATATATATATATATATATATATATATATATATATATATATATATATATATATATATATATATATATATATATATATATATATATATATATATATATATATATTTATATATATATATTTATATATATATATAATTATATATATATATAATTATATATATATATATATATATATATATATATATATATATATATATATATATATATATATATATATATATATATATATATATA